TTTTACGAAATCTAACTTTAGGTAAAAGGCTAAAAGCAAGTTTTAAAATTTAATTTAAGGTAATTACCGAAATAGAATTTGATATGCTACATTTACAAAAATATTTTATATATTTATGTATATATTATTTTTGTATGTGTGCACTGTGAACTAAATATTAGTTTATAAATATTATCTGATAACACATGATTAATAATTGTCCATCAACACGGCCCCAAACAGTAATCAGGAATCGATTACGAGGCCGAACTAGTTATAATTGTGACCAGGTAAGTAAACTATATTCATTTGATCCGGCCAAAACCAAAAAAAAAAACTAGACCGAATTAAATTTGTCACACGGGTCATAGGCCTTATTCGTCGCTTTTGTTTGTTAAGATGAAAGGTTAATCGAGTTCAATAAATAAAGAAAAACAAGGAATTTCTCATTTCAAAATTGACGAATTTCAAATCCAGTTGATTTATTTATCCCGGAGTATCACGAATTACCAACTATTTTTCATTATTTTCACCAATATTTCTTCACTGTGCCTAGTAAAAACTAATTATTCTGCATAAGGATTATAAATTTATGTTATTCATCCATTTATCAATTATCATGTTTGATTATAACTATGATATATGCAAAGTGTGTGAAAAAATATATAAACACACATACATACATATATAGGGTCAGTAACATTTAACATTAATTGATTAGCAATCCAAGTTTAAAAACATTAATTGATTAGCAACATTTAACAAGAATTCGGTGGCCACAATTATTGTCCAGTAAATAGCAAATAGATGGTTTTCAATTAATTATCTTGCAAAAAATTTTGAGGAGTTACTTTCAGATGCAAAAGGACAGTGGTTGCTGATTTAGTGGTCTCTTGTCGAAACTTTCACATCCACGATTTTCAATTTAATATAAATGAATAAAACATGGAGAAAAATGTGGTTTCCATTGATTTCGCCACATGAATATGGTAGATTAGGGTACAACTTGTATATTATGTGCATTTGTGATTCACTAGAAGTTATGAATATTACACAAAATTCAAAACAATAACTAATGGAGCTCATTATTGCTCTTCTTGTAACTTCGGTGAATCAAAGTTTGTACATAAGTTTCAGATCAAAGTTTGTACATATCATTTCTTGCTCAAATTTCATGTTTCATTTTGTGTTACACTCTACTGGATGAATAAATACGTGTATAAATATGACATCATCATTTACATGTGTCATAGTGAAATACGAAATGGAACATGAAAGTGAAGCAGGAAATCTCATTCCAGATATATCCAATACCATAATACTCATTATCATTTTCATTCATTTATGTTTACCACAGTTTTGCTATGGAGCCATCGGATGGCTCGGTTTATGGAACCATCCACACTTATTCACCCATAGTGTATTGACACGTGTCCTGCAATAAATACACTTTGGACAGGTGTCAATACATTAAGTGGTGGATGGCTCCATAAGAAAACCGTCCGATGACTCTATAGAATTTTTTATGTTCACCAACCATATTTACTATTTTACATGTTTACTACACTTTTAAAGTTTTTTGTGGAAATATGACAATTAAAAAATCATATCTATTTATAAACTATATATAATAACCAAAAACTAATGTAATTTAAAAATCAATGAAAAACAAACCATTCATAAACTGTAAAAATTAATATATTTCCTAAAATAAAAGGTTTGTAAACATAAAAATGAATAAAAATTTGAAGGTAAATGAAGTAATTTGTAGATGGAGCTTGCTAAGCTTAACCTTTTTCTTATTGGATTTTACAGTAAAATCATTCTTTCACAGCACAAATGAACTCAAGGTAAGGTTTAATGTTATCTTCATTCGACCAATATAGCCAAACAAGCAACAAAATTTTATCGAGTTTCCAACTTGGATCACAAACGCGTGGGATTGTTGGTTAGCTAGGATTAAGGGACCTCCAAAATTCATTTACCTTAGATAGATTTCGATCTATTCACATTGTAAGGTGATGATCATCGTCAACATGAAATATATAACAATACATTTCATAATCGACAAGTATACATTAAATTTTATCAGCATTGAATAGAAGATAAATCAAGGTACGTCAATTAGGATTACTCTTTAAAATACATAAATAACAAATACTCATATTGAAAAGATACATTACCTAGTTAGAAAAATCGTCGAATTTAAGTGCATTGCACATAACTTTCAGAACTCGACACAATGCATAATTCACATTAGTCCACTAATGATTTAGATGCTCCGACCATTAACTTACTACTTTAATATCAAAATTGACGTAGGGAAGCGTACGAGTGCGACGATATTAATGAGATCGCAATTTCAAGAACACCTAAACATAAACACGATATCAAATCTTATTTCATTCAAAATTCAACTACCTAAAACAATAGATATGGCGTCCTTTAAATAAGGCTCCTAAACCATATTTCTAACTTATCCAACAAGACAATATCTCTTATAATAATATTTAATTTCTAACTTATTCTCCAAGAGACCTATGCTAATAATATTTAATTTCGAACACATGGTAGGAAACTCTCATCGTTTTCCCGGTCGAACATGAGTGTTGAACGACACTGTGATCTACCTTGGCGAGCCACAAAATCCTCGGTTGCGCAAATCACACTTTTCCTCTCCTTAACTTGAGTTACTCGGTCAACCCAAACAAATACTTCGAAACCACAATCAAATAAATAACAGTTTTTGTTTCCAAGAATCGATTTGGAAAGTGCACCATCGTCAACAAAGCCAACCTTACACTTCCCTTCATGAAACTGCTTCAACATATATAACCGCATGTCTTCTTCAGGTTTCTTAAATCCAGATGCAACACCACCTGTAAGGGTTATGAAATAGGGAATCAAATGATGACAAAAATTTGTCAGACCCGCGCCCTTGGATTCTCTATACTGCACAACTTGACCGCCAAGAATCGCATCGAGTTCAACGATTTTGATAGCAGCAGTTCCAGCTTCATCCTCCGGCCCCGGAGGCTCCTCATTAAAGATCGGCGGACCTTCGTACAATGGTCTGTCATCTTTTTCCCTTTTTTTTTTTCTTTTTTTGTTTTTTTTTTTTTTTGTG